CAGGGTTAAATGTCAATACTTCCATGGAGGATACAATATATACAACGTAGTTCAGTCCCTCCAGAACGAGGTTTCTATCTTGAATCTTCCCAGAGACATTAACATTTTTGAGATTTTAGTCTAAAATCAGATTTTTTTTCACACGAAATCGTAATTTCTCAACTTCAGCATCATTAAAATACAAATCTGCAGATATTTAACTCCGTAACACCGTGCATATAGATATTGACTATTAGGGCTGTTGAAGATAGGCCAATAATAGGAAACATCCAAAACATAAAACAACAAATGAGTTATGTGAGAGTTAAAGTTTAATTTGTCGTCATGTAGCATACTTAAAGTGTGGGGCAACACTGCTCAAGAGCACGTGGCGACAGAAAAGTAAGTGGCGGTTAGAAGTGCTTTGGCTGTTGTAAAACTTGTAACGTATAAAACAAATAAATCGTTTACAACGTGAAGTGCGCACTTATTAAAAACATTGAAAAACCTACAAAGTCTTTAATTTCTATCTGTTCGCTAAGAAAACTGTTATATAAAGTATAGGCGAAATGTAGTTTACTTTAGCGAGAGAAAGTGATAATATTTTATTTGCGGAGGTGTAGTTGCATTGAGTTGTACAAGTATAATTACAGAATTCAGAACAGATTGGAGGTCGAGGCAGTCCTCATTTTATACAGTTTGTTTAATTTTTAATAGCCTATTTTAATACCGTTTTGGGACGGTCAGGCCATTGTTTTCACATCTCCATCACTTCTGCCTATAACTAAGTATGCCTTAGTTCTGCAAAACCGATTCAGTAGTTTTGGCGACTATAGAGTATTGTCACAGTTTTTGCGCCTTTTTGGTGTCAGAGCTCTGAATCGAAGACGAAGGAGCAATTATAGAGAAAGCCGAAGAAGTCGCTGCCTTACACTAGTCATATGGCATATAGTCTCTAAACACTGCTGACAATAAGAACAAACAGTGAAAAATTGCAGACTAACCAGTTCAGTAGTTTTTGCGTGCATACACGACTAACTACGACCATAGTTTTTTTGCGTATTCTGGGTGTTACAAAGTTAAATGTCAATACTGCCATGGAGGATTCAATAAATAAAACGTAGTCCAGTGCTACAAGAACGAGGTTTCTGTCTTGAATCTTTCCTGAGATATTAACAGTTTTGTGGTTTTAGTCTAAAATCAGATTTTTTCACATAAAATCAAAATTTCTCAACTTTAGCCTCATTAAAATACAAATCTGACTTCGATTTCGCAAAGTAAATTAAATTTTCTACAAGATAACATTTTCGGTGAAAACTTTGCCTTCCTAATACATAGTAGCCGCTTAAAGTATAATCAATGGCAAAACCCATTTTTTATAATTAATTGTGGCTCGTGCAATGACTTTCCACAAAAGTCAAATTTTTCGGGGATTTCACCAAAGTTGTCTTATTTTATATGTATTCCAAGGACATACTCGCTTTTACGTTTCTTAGAACTTTTCTCAGTGAAATCTTTTTTCCCACGTTAATAAACGTGTATCAAACCAACGAGAGCAGCAACCTAAGAAAATGGTACGAGTCATATTTTTTATAAAACATTTATTAGTTGGAACAAAATTAATTACATTATTTTAGTGGCATGGCCAGTGAGGAGCCCTGATTTGTTCTTTTAGACTTTTACATGTGGGGAACTCTAAAAAGTGCAGAGTACAATACACCCATCGAAAGGGAAAAGACGAAAGGAAATGGATCTGAGTTTTGTCAGTATTGACATTTAACCTTGCATAGTAAAATTCCAACTTTTACAAACCCTACTGTTTGTATGATAGTATTGGAAATTAAATTCATTAATTTCGTGGGTTCGAAGCCCGCTCGTAACACTGACATTTTATCTCAACTAAAAACCTTAGTTAGTTGGAAATATTCTATCACCACTAATTATCACTAAGGTTCTAAGTGTTTTCTTTCAATCCTACCTGATGGAAATTAGGTTTTAACAGGTTAACAGAATAATTTCGAATTTCCTAATACGAAATGTTTAAAAAGTTTATATTTTTCTTTGGTAGGTCTGTCCTTGAGTACAACTCACAAGTCTTGTCTCCATTTTATAAAAATTCAATATAAACTTCGTAAAATTTCAAAAAGTTGATAAAATATTTTGCTTATAAATTGCATTATAAGCATTCACCGATTCCATTATCCCTCCCTCCAAAAGCTTTTTCACCTTCTGACGTTCATTCTACCATACAACACCTAAAATCCAAGAAAGCTCCAGGTTTTGACCTTATTACTCCAAAAATTCTCCAACACCTTCCCAAAACGTCCAGCATATTCATTACATACCTATTTAATTCTGTTTTTCGTACAACCTACTTCCCTATAGCTTGGAAGTACTCGTGTATTCGAATGTTCCCTAAGCCAAAAAAGCCAACACATTGTACTACTTCATATAGGCCAATAAGTCTACTACCTACTTTGGGTAAAATTTTAGAAAAACTCCTACTGAAAAGAATTTTTCCGATTCTAAATTCTCAAAACATAATCCCAGACCATCAATTTGGTTTTCGCAGCCGCCACTCAACTGTCCGCAGTGTCACCGCGTGGTAGACATTATTTCATCCTCCCTTGAGATGGGACAGTAATGTTCCGGTGCCTTTCTTGACGTAAGCCAAGCTTTTGATCGAGTTTGGCACCCGGGCCTGCTGTTCATGCTCAAGGGCATCCTTCCATTCACATACTATCTCGTACTGCACAGTTACCTCACGGACAAATTCTTCCAAGTCATCGAAGGCCATTCCCTCTCTTCATATTTTCCTATCCATGCTGGTGTTCCTCAGGGTAGCGTTCTGGCACCTACACTGTACCAGGTTTTCACAGCTGACATGCCATCTCATCCCGAGACCACCACATTCACATTTGCAGACGATACGGCAATTCTCTCTAGCAACTCCGACCTTGTCATTTCCACTCAAAACCTCCAACAACACCTCATACTACTAGAGTCTTGGTGTAAAAAGAAAAGGATAAAATTTAACACAGACAAATCCACCCACATTACTTTCACTCCTCGTAAAAAGATATCCCCCATGTTTTCTTAAACAATATTCCCCTCCCAACTGCGGACAAGATGCGGTACCTCGGATTGTACATCGACAAATGCCTGACGTGGAAACCTCACACAAGACTGAAACGTCAGGAGGTTATGACACGATTTAGAGTTCTTGCACGACTTCTTGACGAACGCTCTAATTTACCTCTCAAAAATAAAAGGCCGCTTTACAACACCATAGTTAAGACGATTTAGACTTACGGACTGGAAGTGTGGGGTTCAGCCAAACATTCCAATATCCACCGCATTCAACACTGCCCAGTCTATAACACTACGAAAAATACTAGATTCTCCATTTTATGTATCGAACCAAACTACATATACAGATTTACATATTCCTTTCGTACAAGATGAAATACGTTTCCGTTACCGTAAATTTCATAAAAACCTCCCAACTAACGTAAACCAGGTACACATTAGAAACCTCGCATCCCGACGAATCCCCTCAAACCCGCCCCTCCGAGTGAAGAGACAATGGCCGCGAGACCTCCTAGGAGTGATGGTGTTGACAGTGAAAGTGATAATGACACACGTATCAATTGAACAAACAATATTACTGTAACATTGGAGTAATACCAATGGGTGTTTTCCCCACTCTTGGTTTTAATTATGTTTTTTTAAATTACCTTGCTCACAGTTACTTATTACCTACTTTAACGTAGTTGTAATGTACTACAAATTATTTAAAAAAAATATATAAATTGCATATAATTTTTTGCAAATCATTGTATTGTATGAATCGAACCTTTAGAAAAAAAAGAAGAAAAACTCATGTTACATTTAAAATTTTTAACAACCTAATCTGACCTAAGCTTTTAAAAAGAATTGATCTAAATTTTCTTAATAAAAATATTGGACATACTAAACAATTTGCTATTGAGTTTACTAAAAATATTAACTTTAAAATTTTAAATCGTGACTGCTCCATAGTCAATGTTTTAAATATTGATGTCTTCAATTGTTGTGTCAGTTTTTTAAAGACGCTTCATCTTGGTTGTCTTAGTCAGTAAGAATTTATTTCATGTTATAGTTATTTTGTATATCTTTCAAATTTGTCGTTAACAAAGATTGCTGTTATTATTATTAAATCATATATTTTATATTTATTGAAAAATATTTCAGATTTGCCACCATCAAAGAGCATGGTCATAATTATTCTTTTTCTTCTGTTATAAAAGAAAACTACAAACAATTAAATCTGAAATTTTACATATTTAACTTTTTAAAGACACGTTTGCTAAATTGAAAATCAACAAAACTTTTGGATTGTCATAATGAAAGTTCCTTTTTTTTCATAAGATCAAATATCGATGTTATATCAACTTTCACTCACTTTCAGTGAGGGCCTACAATTCAGAAAGGTGTAGGAAGAAAAATGCAAATTGTATAGTTGGTGTCAAGTCTACGTAAAGTTTTGGGAGTAATCAGGTTTGCTTAGAGGTCCATGTTGTTGTTTTTGACAACTTCGAATTGAGCCGTCGGCGAACGTCCTACTGGCCTTCTAAGTTGTTCGTGCATCAAAATAAAATGACTTTGTTTGTCTCCATGCCTGGATAACCATAATTGAATGACGGTTTTTACACTGAAACATAATTTGACGATGTAGAAAGGCCCTAAACTAAAACAAAGAAAAATATTCACCTGAAACGTCAAAAATGTTTTATTTATTTATAATTTTAGATCACGTTTTTTCGGTTATTTTTAGTTACGGAAAATATTTTCGATAAAGTATTAAAATTGGAGGTCTCGCCTGTCGTTATAATTTTCCTCTTTGTGCTTTAAAAGTGCGATGAAAAAATACACCATAACATTTTCAAATTTTTATTTATAAACCTTAATTATTTTTTTATAATTATATTTAAAACAGAAGAACAAAAATAGTTAATTTATCCAATCAGCGTAATTTTTAAATTTAATTAACACATATGGTTATTTACATATATTTTTCTTTTCTTTTTTAAATTTAATAATTTTACTCTCCAAATATCCAAGAAGAGAGTTTACATTTTTCGGGGTTAAAAGACAGTCTGGCTGTCTGAAGGGGATCACGTTATCAGGACGAGGATGCAGATGCTGATCGCCAGGATGATGTTCCCTCTCACCTTTTCAGAATAGCCTCTGACTGAAACAATGCCAATATTTATCAATATTTATATTGGACAAGCAAAATACATTCTTCAGATAATAAACATTTTGAAACTATTCGACGGTTCGAAAAAGGAAACATTTCGAACAAACAAATCTGAAGACATGATAAACAAAACGAAAAGGAGAAAAAAGGGACAGAAGTGAGAAAGAAAGAGCAATTCAGAAAGGGAATTGTGAGAATGAGAATGAGTGAGAAAGTTATATAAAGTAAATGAACGAGCAAAAAAATAGAGAACGTGAGGGTAAGTAAGTAAGAAAGAGAGAGAGAGAGAGAGAGAGAGAGAGAGAGAGAGAGAGAGAGAGAGAGAGAGAGGAAATATGAAAGTAACAGATTGAGAGAGAGTAAGTGAGGGAGTCAAAAGTTTGAGAGCGAGGGAATAAAAAGTGCGAGTGTGAAAGTGAGAAAGAAAGGGATTGTAAGAGTGAGAGTGAGAGAGGGAGTAGTGGAAAGAAAAATTTGTGAGAGAGCGTTAGTGAGAGAGTTCGATGGAGTGAGTGATGCACATAGACCAAAACTGCTCGCGGTGCAAAGGTCTTAAAGAAAGTGAGGGAAAGATGATGAGAAAGAGGAAGTGAGAGAGAAGAAAAATAGTTTAGGGAGAGAGTGGGAGAGTTAAAGTGAGTCAGAGAGTTGCTACACAAAATAATCAATCTGTAAACTTGGATAACTGTAAACCAGAAAAATAGGTTAGTCAGTTATGTAGTGAAAAAAATACAAAAAAAAATAAAGAAAGAAAAAATGTCGACATATAAATATTTAACTGTAACAAAAACACCAAAACAATCCCTCTAATAAAAAATAAAACTCAAGACACAAACAAAGAAAATAACTCGTGGTATAACTAATTTTCCGAAGTGACAAAATGTGAAAAAAATGGTAAACATTCTTAGACATGGTAAGGCAGAACCAGGGTAGCGTACGCTGCCTTATTTAGATACATGAACTGTTATAACAATAGGGAGAGGTTTGAACTATACGTATGATATCTGATTGGAGCGAATTATTCAGTTGATGTCGGATGTCAGGATATGTCGGCTGAGACGTTGGCAAAAAGAGTAGTGAAGGGTGAATTCTGGATATCGGGGTGATGAGAAATAAGGAACGAAGGACCAAATGCCACTTGTAATCTTTCTGACACAATTATCCATCAAAAAGAAATTTAATATCCAGAAACAAAAGGCACCTCAAATATAAATATCAAATAAGAACATAGAATTATGACATTACTCAATATAGTACAATGATAGATGTCAAATTTACTTTAAATTTAATTGTTGATATTTAGCGTTAGCAAGTGTAGAATAAAAGTCAAGTATGGTTGTACGCATTGTAACATCTGGTATTTGGGACAAATAAGCTTCTTTTTCTCCAAATCTTTCCAACGATGACAGGACATAAACGTGAAAGCTGGTGTGAAGCCGACGTCCGAAAAAAAGATAAACAGCCCAAGGGCTGTGGGTTTTACTGTCGAGAAATTAATGCGATTAAAAATAATGCTCTCTGCGTGTGGTGCGGCGGTGAGACTCGACTGAGCATTGTAGTCACGTCTGGATAAAGGGGAGCCGCCACGTAATCCAACGGCTAAAGCGTGTTACAACAATTAGGGCTACAAGGCTCCAAAAGCATAATGCATTAAGCCCTAACTCCTCATAGGCCCGTTAATTCAGACGCTCGCCCAAACTCCCCCTAATTTGAATAATAAAATTACAATTGAAACTGCCGGGAACGCTGAGATTGGTGCCGAGGGCCGAATTGGAGGGAGCGCTTTCAAGACGCGCACAACCGGAAAATTTTCGCTGCTAATTCCATTAACGACCCTCCGCGACGGCGCATGCATTAAAACGTTAATTGATAGGATAATTTGCTATTTTTTCCACGCTGCAGAATACTGTAAATATCGTTTACGAAGTTAAAGATTGTTCGAAGTTTGAAACAAAACCACCAAAAAGCGACCCGAGCGATGATGGGAAGAAAATCGAAAAATGGGAAAAAGATGAGGCAGTAGCGATGTTCACCATATTATCAGCTATGGAACTATCACAAGTTACGCTTATTAAAAGTGGTTCCTCGTCAAAAAAAATGTTCAAAAAATTGGACTCAATCATTAAACTGAATTCCGATTTTAACAAAATGTTACTTCTTGAAATCAACAAATGAAAATGGACTGCAACAAAACGGTAGTGCAACATAATGCAAAGATTGAAAATCTTACATACCAAAACAAGGAATCTAGTGAGAATATAAGCGATGCGACGATAATTACGAAAATTCCAGGGACACTGGCTTTGAAATACAGAAACTTGTGGATATTCCAACTGTATGAAACCAAGATATGAACGTACGTACATCAATATCAAGTTATTAATTTCAAATACGATAAAAGAAGAATGGAAAAACCGCTGGGCTCGGAAAAATAGAAATGACCCTGCCAAACTGTGGCAGGTGAAGAAAGACGTCGGTCCCTGGTTCACGGAAAATGGGTCAAAAAGGGAAAAGGTCATACTGACAAGACTACGTATAGGTCATACAAGAATTAAGCACGGGCACCTTCTAGCAGGAAAGCGACCGCATAGGTGCCCATTATGCAAGGATAGAGTAACAGTCGAGCACCTTTTCAACTGAGAAGGCTCGACGTTTATAGTCAATATTTTGGAATTTCAACGGACTTGTGCGTAATCTTGGGGCACGTCAGCGGGCACAAATCGCTGTACCGGTACCTCAGGGCTATAGGGATTTTCAAATATATATATTTTATGTGTGTTTGTGTTGTTTGTGAAGTGTTTGTGTCGTGTTTGTGTGGTGTTTATGTTAATATATTAGGATGAATGTAATTTATTAGCGTGAAAGTAATGGGTTATTTACCCCGCCGCGAAGAATATCGAGTACTTTGGGGTGAGTGTGTGATGTCTGGGGAGCAAAAGTAAGTTATTAGCGCGAATGGAGTGGGTTCGGCCCCGCCCCGAGGAATATCGAGTACTCTGGGGGAGTGAGTGTGACCAGACTTCTATGTTTGAGGCGATATATATGTTATGTATTGTATGATGAGGCTAGCATTTTAAAATAACGACGTAATATACAAGTAAAAGCAGAGCGTCAGTAACCAGATCGAGATGCTCAAATGGCCGCAGTTCAATACAAAATACGCGAGAAAGACAGGAAAGAGAAGGAATACACGCGGAGGGCCGGCGATGACCTGAGCTGTTTGTCGGCCTATAAACCTCCCACTTTATATATATGACCGTACGTACACCATCTACATAATTAATTGATAGATTTGTTGAAGTGGTTCAAACGCATTTTGTACAGCGTCAATCCATTAAGACTATTGTCCTTTTAAAATACAGGGTGTTTATCGACACACCATAGGAAAAACATTGTATCACCAGCTAAAGTGTACTATTAAGACACATCTATCCAACTATTAAGACAAATTATCCGTTATACGGAAAGTGAAATTGTGGGGTGAGTCATTGGAGCTGCTGGCGAGCCCGAAACCTACAAAATTAGAAAGTATTCATGCCAGACATTTAAACAAGTTTCTTCAACTAGCATGATACCATCACATGTTTGTGTATCATGCTGTAATCGGTATGTGTTATGAAAACGGGTAGTGTCAAGAGGCTCTCGTTTCGCTTTTATCGCTTAATCCTCGCTGGTAATGACTTCATCTAAAAAAAAGTACACATTCCAACCAGATTCAAAGTTTTTGATCATAATATTATAAGATTTCTTCATTTGAACTAATGATAAACCAGTAGTTTGGTCGTTTACCGTCGTTTGTTTATTATACAAACACTCCGGATCAAAAAGGTTCGTTACGACCGAAATACTGGTACAGAATCATTGATTTATTAACAGTTTGACGTCTTGCTTTAGATTTTGAGTGAACAATATCCAATAACAGACCTTCCAATTCCAAGTTTGTATCCGGCTTTTTATTAGGAGGTCTGTCGTAAATTTTGGCGGAATTAAAAAAAAAATTGCGGGCAAAGACTTTTATTGTAAACTATTATAATCCTTCTTTTAGGTCAGGTTTTATTGCATTCTTCAAGTCAAATGTGCCCTGGACATCAGTAAAGAAACATTTTGGGTGGAACTTAGCTACTAGAATTTCATTCTCATAATTCTGCCTTTTGTGATCTATCTTTTAAATTTGTATAGACCAGCTAAAAGACTGCGAACGACTACATGCAGTAAGACCAAGTGTTCGTTACCTAGAGTTTCAATAATTGCATAACAAAGACCAATCTACATCAAAGCGTTGTTTTTGGAAGAATATAAAAACTATTTAGGTTAAATATTATAGCTTGAGACCCCTGTAAGTCCTTCTTTCTGCTCTGTGTGAATGTATTTATTGCCGTAAATAAGGAAAGGGCGTCAAGGTGACGAATATAAGTTCAGCTACACTGGATAAATTATGTTTCGTAGGTTTTAAATAAATTGGTAAATCGGTTGATGGGGTTATTCAACACATTTTATTGTTAACAAATGAAATAATTGTTGAGAAAAAATGAAACACTTAATAGTCATGATTTTTTCACAGAATGCCTGTGGATAATCGCCTTCAGGTTGCACCGGCTAAGATTTTTCTCTCTTCTCGTAAATTATTAATTCATGTCAGAAATAACATTATAAACAGTTAATTATTATTACTTATAAATTGAATAAATATAACATGAATTTACTCAAACGTTTCAAAAATTGATATGTCGTGACGCCAACGCCATTATAATATGTTCCGCGTTAGCTACACAATGTTGACACATTAATTATTAGATTATCTACAGGTTTAAATGAAAATAATACGTTTTATGTCGTATTATGTTATGTTATTAATCATCAACCTCTACAAAATTAGATTTATAACTATGGTAAAAGGTGTTAATTAAAACACAGGCAAAATGCACAGTTTCCTTGCCTTATAGCACCTAATTACAAAATCGTTTTGAACTTTATTAAGATTTTTCAGATATTGTCAAAACAAACATTACTCACCTTAGCAAAAATAAACTATTTTTATCATTTACCAAAGAACCACGTAAATCAGTGTTTAATTGTAATTTTAACTAGACGAAATAGGTTCTAGAATCAGAAGATAATAGAGGTAAAAGATTTCGCAGAATCTATAAATATAACTATACTCGAGATAAATTAGTATTTGCCACAGAATAATAAAAATTCATGACATTAAAATAACTAAAAAACAACATCCCACATGGTATTATCAGCACGAACATTCGAAAAAAAAAGATTAAAACAATTGCAACAGATATATTCATACGTGCTCATACAATCCAACAAACCATATAAAGAATGGTACACTAAACTATACCTGAAGTAATGAAAGAGCAAAGAAACTCGACATCTACCAACTAAGAAAACTACTACAAGGAATCGATTAACAAATATGTAAATAGAGGACAACACAAAAACAAAACATTTCATAGAGATAAATTAAATCAACTAAATTCATACAAAAACAAAAACGCTCAAAAACCAGTGAGAATTAGATTATATATATATATATATATATATATATATATATATATATATATATAATTTCAGCTTATCAATCGTAATTAAAAAATGAATAACCCAATTTTGTAACTTAATTTGCATCAACCAACCTTGGATTTTAGCAATACAGAAAATTTTACAATTTCTTCACCAAGTTTACAATAAATACGGCGAAAAATAAACTCATTTGAAAACAGAAACGCACCAACACAACTCTTAAATATGGGCAGAACGTATAAATACTAAAATTGATAACTTATACCTTTCAATTTATGTAAAACTCTGCATTACATAACAAGAAGATAACTTGAATAGAACCAACAACATAAAACCCTTGAAATACGCTGACAGAACAAAAAAAAAACTGGCACAACGCTTTACCTTTTCACAGGCAAATAAAAGGAACTGGGAATAAGACAAATGCCAACGAACAAACTGGAAATAACAAAATTTCAGCATTTTCTCTGATAGACAAAACAAACAAGGATATACTTACCAGAATAATCGTTCATTTTTAAAAAATCTCACAGTATAATAAATAATTTATTAAAAAAATAATATAGTGAAACGATTTGGTGATGAGCCCAGCCAAATTCCTGATTTTGAGTTCGATTCCCTGCGTTCGAGTCCCCCTATTTTTCCTCTGTTTATATGTAAAACAATTTAAACAGCTCTGACTCACTGAAAAAATTCTTACTTGCATAGCTTCCCCCAAACATAGCCGTATTAACCTAAAATTAACATCCCCCAACCCTAACTGTGCCTAACCCTGACTTTAACATAACTTACTAAACCTCCCTAACCATATCCTAACCCAATCAAACCTAAGCTAACACTACCCATGCACGCTCCCATTTAACGCATCATCCATGATGCAAAAACGGTCTAACAAAAACGTCATATATGTGAAAGTTTAGAAACAGTTTTAAGTGAAAAATATCAAAATTCACCAAGAAAGGATGCCTCTCGGTTGTCGAGAAGTGGCGCATTGCTGTGGACGACGTGATGTCCCTGCCAGACGACCGGGGACAAACTGGCGACGCACCGCAGCTTCATCACACCTTTGTTGAAGTGGTACGGCTTCACGTTCATTGACAAACCGAGGGCAGTGGTCACGAGTCCGTGAGCGTGCACCGCGTTCGGGTATTTGATCACTCCATCCCTCTCCGTCATCTGGAACAAACGGATGAAATAACGTTAAAACAACTGTTAAGCCTTTCCACTCACCAGCAATTCAATAGTCTATATAGATAAAATATCGTCTGAATCCGGAAAAAAAAATCTTGTTTCAAAATTCACTCTTTTACTTTGGTCGTGTGCCACTAGATTATCACGTCTTCCAGCCAGATTTCTAAAGCTTTGACACAATACGTTTTACAATCGGTACATCATCCGTTAAAATCTTTTTTGATTTCCTTTTTGTTACTTTTGGTCAATATAAATGGAAATCATTAAGCACATTTATGCGATTAGTTTCAGACATTTCCAATCTCCAACCAAGTTTTAGGATTACCATTTTATCCGTCATCTAATGTAATTCTCGTTCCATTTACTGGAATTCCACTTATATCATACTCATAATATTTAATTGATTATCGTATTAAAATAATATTTGATATATTTCTATCTTGTTTGTTGAACTGGTGAAAATTTGGTTCTTTCTTCAAAATGTTCGAAGATTTATTTGTCTATCATGGGACTTATTATTTTAGCTAAGATAAGAATTGTGATTTTTATTCTTCACCCATGTAGAAAAATCTGCTTGAGATTTACTACACTTCTAAAAAAAAATTTACCAAATTTTTCTATTTTTGAAGTACAACTACATAACAATGAAAATAGAGTTTTTCCCGTCGAAAAGTGACACATCTGTGATTCACTACTGCAAAAATATACGTAATTATCATCATGATCACTATAATATATTATATAACGGATATAATTTGTATGTTGACAAAAAACAGCAACGTGAATGGAAAACGGACTCAATCTCTCATCTTTAAGTATTTTTGTTCAAAATGTGGTTTTTGCGAGAGCCAAAAGACTTCTGATAAATAAAGAAAAAACCTGATCTGAAGGGCAAACCATCACAATTAAGAAAGATGATTGCAATAAATGGCTGTAATCAAAGGAAAACTCAAATTTGACAGTCCATTCCAAGAGGTCACAGCAAACATAGAAGAACAACAACCCCAAGGACAACGAATCCATGGCACATTGATAAATCAATAAAAAAATAAATACATTAGTTGTAATAGGTAACCTTAAAAATAGCCGAACTGGATTTATAAAGTAAACGTTTTGGGCGTTTATGTTAATTTCATCCTTATTTTTCTCATTTATAATAACGCATAAACCAATAGTTCTCAATATTGTCTCAAGGAAGGAACTTCCAACTGGTTGTAATGCTGTAGGCTTTGGACAAATACCCGAGGAGGAATGAATTTTTAAGTGGAATTCTGTTGTACATTGATAGATCAAAGTTGAAACAGGTAATACGTGGTCTGAAGATTCCTTGAGTATCAAAAATCACTGGCGTACAAAAGAGTTGTACCACATCTAGACTATAATCATGGTAATAGGTATAAAGGTTAAAAATAGAGTTATTAAACAAAACCTCTTAGATTGGTTTCAATTATCTTGCAAGCAGAATCCTTGCAATCCAACTCTGTGCACAGGAGTTTGTAAAAAAAATACGGATTCTGCTAGAAATGTACATACCTTTGAACTGTTGGGCAGCTAAAAAGGCACTAAATGTTCTCAGCTGGAAATTATATTGGAATATGTGAATTGCCTAAGGGGCCCTGGAGGACACACCGGGGCTATCTTGATGTGGGTTCCAAGGAAGGTGTACACGGAATAATAAATTATAAAAGGAAACGATCAGCGAACGACAAGCCAAAGTATTGAAATCCGGCTGCCTTCTCACAAATGGCTTAAGATAGAAAGATTAAAGCGCTTCATAAAAGATCCAGCATGCAAGATAAAATATATATATATAAAGACGATTTTTTTTTCTCCCCCCCTCCTCACTATCCCTTCTCTTGATCTGCCTGAAAAATATAGGCCTCTTTACTGGCCACAGTCCTCTAAATAACTAACTAAACTTTTAGCGGCGGTAAAATCGGAGACACAAAAATGCTGATAATTTAAGGACAAACCACATACATTTGCACATATACTTTTTCTATCTGAGGAACTAGACAGGGTAAGGTATGGCCACTTTAGTAAAACAATTCTCATACCAAAAGAACTGCTAGAAAAGGCATCACAAAAACATGGTCGTAATCATAACGGTTTCACCAGAGATCTGCAAATATTTCGCAGTGGAATAAGGTGCACTTTTTGATTCAGTCATTACAATGTCCTTACAATTATATTCCAAAAATGGTCCAAACAATCGAAAAAGAGGGCTAAATTTTATTGAAAATAAGTAAAAATAAGACGATTTTTTCCTAGGGATTTTGCCTTTCTCATGTTTAGCTTTGAGGAAATCGACACGGGATTGTTGACCCCTTAAAACAAAAGTATGAAAATAATGAAAATTTTGTTTTGTTGTTCTTACCTCCATTATTTTTAGGTTTTTGAACTACCAAGATTCACTAGACCTTTCCTTTTTACTTCAAAAAAGATCTAGGGAAGACTACAAAAAAGGCCACCTTTTTCAGGCAAGTAAAATAAGTAGTTATATAACCAAGGTGCACTTATTCAGGGTCTCCCTTTATGGTGCGAAGATGTATGGGCAAAAATATAAATTGCACTTTTTCGCTCTGAAGAATCTCCTATCACAAACTCACTTTAATATAAAATTATAAAACCTAATGTTTTAAATATGATGATGCATTCAGGCTTTATGATTCTAGCTCCTAATCCCTGGTGAGTGCCCTTTGGAAGAGACCGAAAGACCTAAGAAAACAAATATTTCAAAATGAGAAAAAATAGATATTCTTTGTATTTATGTATATTCTTTATTCTTTGACCTAATTCCAAGTTCATATTGTTGAGCAGGAAACTACTTAAAATTCCCCACATAATGTACCTAGAGGTTCAAATTTACATCAAACTATAAATATTTAAGAAAAATTATAATTACAATTTTTACCTTATACTTATTTAATAAACCTTGCTTTCCGCCAGATGTAGAGCTTTAAGGATTTGAAACTAAGGTTAATAACTATCGTTCTATAAGGATTTGTAATCTGTGTGATCTAGGGGTGAAAAATGATCCATAATTGCTATTGATTTCTGCGGTCCACAATGAAATTTTTTAACCGTACAATTATTTAAATTTAAGAGATTACGTTGCGATGTACAGGGTATCCCGTAAGAATGTCAAGTTTGCATTTGCCAGGGTGGGATCTAGTCATAGGGGTGCCGCGTCGGGTTTCACAATGCGCCCTTTCTCGGGTTACCTCCCCCAATTCTTTGTCTTCATATCCAGCTGACGTTACTTTCCTCGTAACAAGATATACAGGCCTCTATCTATTTCAATGCAGTCTCACATCCTTTTCCGACCCTTCGGGCAACCCTATTTGAGCCATTATCCAATAAAGGAATCATATCACGACGGGGGATGGCCGAATGTCATCCACCCCACTAATGACGGGGCGCTTTGTACAATTCCAACGGCAGTTAATCCTAATTTAGGTACAACTATGTGGTTTTATCCACGAATTTTTGAACACTAAAAGTATTTGTAAAATAAGACATCTGCTTTAAGGTATAATTTAGGTAGACGATCTCTCTCATTTTCTCTGTAACTGTCTCTGTTTTTTTTACGAGAGTTCGCAACAGCAGATGTTATATCATCCCTCGGGGTGCCGGTGTTTTTGAAAAAAAAAAGCCCATTTGTAAGTATGTCGGGTTCGAATGCAGAGCCACTGGGTTTATCTTACAGTGAGCGCCTTGTCAACACCGTTGCGGCCACCGACGCCCCTCTATTTTTAAGTGTTATTGTATTGCTTGACTGCTTGCAATTCACGTATGAATTGGAAACTGTCCCTTTTATCAGTCTTTCTGCCTATCTGCAACTTGCTCTCTCACTCTCTCTCTCTCTCTCTCTCTCTCTCTCTCTCTCCATATCTATCTATCTATCTATCTATCTATCTATCTATCTCTCTATCTNTCTCTCTCTCTCTCTCTCTCTCTCTCTCTCTCTCTCTCTCTCTCTCTCTCTCCTTCTCCCTCGATCTCCTATTTATCTTTCTGTCCAGATTACTAGTTGATAATTATTGTAAATTTGTAACACATTTGCGTGATTTTTTTAATCTGATTTGATTCTATATCTCTAAAATCCTTATATAAAAAATTTATTTAATTGCACATGCGCAACAATGTAAATAATCGTACCAAGAGATTGACTGAATTGCTTTAATTAACAGGAAAATACATTATTTTTGTTTCAAATTCTTTGCAACTTTTTGTACAAGGAAAGATGGGAAGAAACATGTTCATCATTAAATGAAAATGCATTAAGAAAACATGTAACATAAATGGGAAATTTATACATTCAATATCGCATCAGTATTTTATCATTTTATTCTCTCCCGTATACTTGTACGATTAATCAAATTGTTGATTCTGTGTCCTATTGGTTTGATTGATTTCTTTGTTGTTAATTTTACGTCATATTTGAATAAAAATCCTCTGAGATAATACGGATTCGTTCTGTCATTTCATGTTCATTTCCCTGGAATAATAATTTAAACACACGATTAAACATCCAGCGTAAAAGTGAATATTTGATTGAATTGTCTTGTTTATTTATACGAAAATTATAATTTTTCAATTTATAACGGGGATCATTTTATTGAACAAATGAAGAAAACGTGCAATGAGGCGACAATACATATTTGAACAATTTAAACTTTGAAACAACAAAGATTGTCAAATAAAAGTTAATATAAAGACTATCGATAATTTAGGAGAAATTTAAAAGTAATATAGTTTTCCCTGTATATATAATTTCGGAGGTTTATAACCAGATCAACAGCTGAGGTCATCGACGGCCGTCTGCTTGTTTTTTCTTTTTTTTTTTACTTTTGCCTAAACATTTATATACGGCGATGATTTGAACGTCTCGATCTAGTTACTGGCCAGTACTACATCGATATCATAAAATGGTAGCTTTTTCTTTGTTACTTAGGTTGTCAACTATCGAACAGAAACAAAAATATGAACGTATATACAGACAGATGTGTGCATCGGACGATATACCCGAGCACTCCTACGCCCCAAGTCGGAACCCGATCGAGCAGCCGCGCCAAGGCGGCACGCAGTACAACACCAGAACTTTTATTTGAGAGTCCATGCGCTCCATCGAGGAAACAACGAAACACGGTACCACGGCGCCGAAAACACGTTCACCACAGCGGTGTACGTCCAAGTGCCACGCCCGGCATCGGTAGTTCATGACATCCTACAACACCGGTACCCTATCATCACCCCATACAAAAAGTAGACTGGACACATTCACACCACAAGAGTATTCGATATTTGTCGGGCATGGACCAACCAACTTCAGTTTTGCTAATAACTTACTTTTACTCTCCACACGTCATATACCCCATAATATTCCACATTCTTCGGGGTGGGTTCAAACCACGCATTACCCCTGTAAACTGTAAATTTTATTACATTACCTCATATCATTCAGTAATTCAGGGAAAATACAACCCTCTATTATTAGTTAATTAATTTCAATTCTTTTTCAACTATATAAGATTATTGTGAAAGATTTCAGAAAACCAGAAGGATAATTAATTGTATTCGTTTCATTAAAAATAATTGTTTCAACATTTGCTGGCTTTTATAAAACATTAGATCTAATATTATGATTGCAATAAAAATGTATATTATAATTTAATATTATATAACGAAAACCAGTGAAATTGTCTTATAGTATATTAATATATTATATAGATTTATTTGTTGAGCTGGTAAAATTTTTCTCGATTTTTTTGGTATTTTATCCTTTAAATTTAAAAAATGCTTGAAAATAGAGATCAATCTTCAATTACCTGTTCGTCGTTGATGTACCAGTGCAGAATCGATGCGGGATACGACTTCCCGGAGGTACAGTTGAGATTGAGCTCGTCGCCGATCATGTACTGCTTCTTTTCGCCCGTTATGTGCGGCCCGTGAGAAGGCATGACTATAAAAACACAACATTTTTAATCAACTACTGGTAACTAGAAAATATTATACGACTATTTTCAGGAATATTATTTTTTTAAATTTTCAATGGTCAAATTGTTTTTATTGGACTTAGAGATATCTCGCCTCCTGTTTCTTGTTTGTGTTTATTGAGAATGTATGTATTTAACAGTGTGAATTTGTAGCGCGAAATGAATATTGAGTACCACTATTATAGTAGTTAATTTACATAGATTGTTTAGTAGTTAGTACCCGTATTCATAGTATTTAAATGTAGGTTTTATGATTATTCGGAGATCGTGAGATGCATTTTTTAATCTAAAATTTTCTAGCACGGTATAAATTCAATTTTTTAATCTAAAATTTTCTCGCGTTGTATAAATCCATTTTTTATGTAAAATTTTCTTGCATTGTATATTCATTTTTTTATATAAAATTTTCTAACATTGTAAAAACTCATTTTTTTCTTTTAATCTAAAATTTTCTAGCGCTGTATAAATTCTTGTTTTTTCTCACCTATTATTATTCTCACCTATAGTATCTGTAAAATTCAAACAATGTTTCTAAATCCCAGGCCCTGAAGATGATCTCAATAAAGATCGAAACGTTGGCACGATAAAGAAAATGTTTTTCTGAAACCTACATCACACCAGACCGCATCTCACGATTTCTAAATAAATAAGTTTATGTTTCTTTTGTTCTGTGTGTAATATTTTAGGATTTTTGAAGTCGAAATCGTGTTTGTGTTCAAAATGGTGGGCAGCCAGTGCTGTAGGATTTTGTTTGGGTTTTTTGCAAACATAGATATGTTGCTTTACTCTCTTATCCAGAGATTGTGATGGAAGACCGATGTAAGTTGCCGGACAGTTTAAACAATTGATTTTGTAAATTACGTCCCTGAAGATGATCTCAAGAAAGATCGAAACGTTGCAACGATAAAGAAAATGTTTTTCTGAAACCTATAACACCCCAGACTGCATCTCACGATTTCCGAATATTTTATTTGTTACTGGTGTGGGATCTTTAATTTTGGAAAAAATTGTGTGAATTGTTTTATACTTTTTTGAATAGGTTTTATTTGTATAAAATAGCCTAATTGAATGAATGTTATGTAAAACGGAAAATAAATTTATTACCGCAAATGGACAGCTTATTCCCAATTACACCGAGGGATATCGATTTCTCTGTGCTAGTGTGAATGAAGTCAGGTGGGTGAATGCGAAGAAGTAAGAAACAAATAAATACAAAATAAATAAACTGAAAAAAATTATAGCATGTCAAACAATATAATAGGGGTATTAACGATCTTGTGTTAATCCTGTTAACTCTGTTAGGTCGTGTTAGATCGAGAAATATGATGTCGTAGACTTGTAAGAATCGGCTAGTTAACATTGCTCGATCTAACAGGCCAGAGCCAATGTTAGATGTCATGTCAAATGGTCAGGTAAATGTAGTCACATTGCTATCCGCCAAGGCGTAGGTAAACAACATGGCAGTCATGAATTTTACAGCTTTTTTTACACGTATATTTATACTTAAATACGTATTAATTAAATCAGATCAATACTTTTTTTTTGTTAATTTCTGTCATTATATTCTCATTCATAGTAGATACTTCCCCTATCCTTTACATTTGTAGGCTGTTAGATCATAAGATATAAGTTAGGTATGTCGGGACGAACTGAAGTGTGTCATTTCTTAGCACAGTTAGTAAATTTCGCGTATATATATAGCGTTTTGAATGAAAGTGTTGATTAATTTTCTTTTTTTAGTAACTTGTGGATCTCACCAATTAACACAAAAAAACCAAAGCAAACAACAACAACCCTTCAAAGACTGTTATAGGTTAATTTTTGGTTCTAGCAATCTCCACGCGCAGCATTGCGGCAAATTAACATTTAACAAGCTAAGAAAAGAAGAGAGCGTTCACGATCTTTTTGGACATTTCTCTATTCCAGTTAACACGAGTTAACATCTTACAAACATCGCGAATACTCCTAATATATATGGCTCAAATAAACCAAAAAGTGATATAAACTGAGTAAGGGTGAGATAGAGATAGATAGATAGATAGATAGATAGATAGATAGATAGATAGATAGATAGATAGATAGAGAGAGAGAGAGATTAAGAGTAAGAGTGAGAGAATAGACAGATAGAGAGAAAGAGATTAAGAGTAAGAGTGACAGAGATAGACAGATAGAGAGAGAGAGAGAGAGTGACAAAGAGAATGATAGACAGACAGAGGCGGAAGCACAGAGGGATGCATACAAAAATGAAAAAGTTGGATAGTAAGGAATAAGTTAGGAAATTTGAAAGAACAGAAAAAACAAAGAAAAGGATGGAGAGTGTGAGAGAGTAACAGAGAGAAACGTAGAAAGGAAGAAAAGAGACAAAAAACGACAAACGTGACAAATCCAGAAATGGAAAGAAAAAGAAAGAGAAAGAATGAGAGAGAGGAAGTGGGAGATAGAGAGAAGTAGAGGCAAAGAGAGCAGGATAAGACTAACAGAACGACTGATGATGAGAAAGTTGTAGTTAGATAAAAAAGGAAAAACAAGAGAAAGAGAGAGAGGTAGAGAGAGAGATAGATAGATGATATATAGATAGATAGATAGATCGATAGATAGAGAGAGTGAGAGAAGGAGAGAGAAAGAGAGAGAAAATGGATGGGAGATAGAAAAAGAAAGAGAGAGAGAGAGAGAGAGAGTGAGAGAAGGAGAGAGAAAGAGAGAGAAAATGGATGGGAGATAGAAAAAGAAAGAGAAAGGGAAAGAGAGAGAGAGAGAGAGAGAGAGAGAGAGAGAGAGAGAGAGAGAGAGAGAGAGAAAGAGAGAGAGCGTGAGAAAGAGAAGGAAGCATAAATAAGCTTTAATATTGATTTTATTATTTTTTTATTATAAAATTCAACAAACCAGTCGTACTAAATGATTAGATATATTAGAATAATTTTTAGACTTTTTCTTTGTTTTTATTATAACATCAATTATTTATAACGAAATTATTTATTTAAGTTTCACGAATGTAAATATTTTATGATAAAAAAATCAATAATTTGGTGGTAATGATGCAATGTTTTTCCGTCAATTAAATAAAGAAATAAAAATTGAAACGGTTTATGAATGTGGTAGAGCGTAAAGAGCGTTAATTTAATTAATTTTTAATTTTGGCCACACCGTAAAAGCCTCAAGTAATCCGCCGGTTAGTCCTAACAGGGTAATAAGTGTTGGGAAGTTGTCACCGATGTTCATTTCCATAGCATGGGGCAGGCTCGCCGTAATTCCGATAGAGGTTCTCACCCCCTTGGCACGCAAAACTAACCCTGGTCCGCCCCGTTCCGCTAATTGAAAATCCTCCGCCTAACCCCTCGCCCTGTCGCGTCGCCCTCTGAGCCCGCACCCTTCCGTTAATCCCGGCTGCACATATCCCTCTCTCTCGTCTCATATTTGTCGGATTTCGCCCCGCTTTTTAGACCCGCGTCGAGTGGAGTTAAAACGCCCCATATTTCACGTGTATCCGTTCTGACATTTTCCAGGATCACCTTTTAGCTTACGTTATTTATTTAGTTTTCAACGCCCAGTTTTTTCTCTCTCTCTTCCTCTTTCTCTCTCTAACTCTCTTTCGTTTTTTTAACCCCAACAAAAATTATTTATCTCTTTTATTATTAAATCCGACATTTCATAGGATGTACTTTATACGCAGCATTAATTTTGTTTTGAAGGGGAAAATATGAAAAAAACCCATTAAACTGCTACTTAAATCAACTATTTGCTAATTTTGTGGTTAAAAAATCATATGAATGAAAATCGTTGAACATTCTTAAAACTAATCACTGCTTTAGAAAAGTATCTCGCAATTGTTTTGTATTTAGTAACTTCGAGACATCCCATCATTCACACCAATAAATACATTCGTATCAGGTTAACTTTCAGACTATATCTATAATCATAATTTTTGGAGCTACCAATGTTGTAATATTTCTAAGTGTCTCTTCCACTTATGAGGTACTCGATATTTTCCATAATTAACCCTTATGCCATTCAGGGCAATAAAAACAATTATTCAGAAGGCCACGTTTTGATTTTAAAGTAGTGCTTACGCTTTTTCTAACCTAAAATTTCATTAACGTAGACAACTATGAAGTCTTTTAACATTCAGGTTCTTTAGCGTGGCACCTGGAAAATCGGCCTTATTTCAAGTTTAGATTCTCATGTTAGGAGGCACTCACCTCCGCAAACGGAAAATCTGCTTAAACCGTGAGGTCAGTGTAGAAGGCCACATCATCCTGCAGCATGCGACATGTCCACTTCTCCGCTTGCCCCTTCCGAGGGAGTGGGTTAACAAAGGGACACAAAAAGAGGTCGAAATGCATCGACCAAGTCTCCCACGCACCCCATAGATAGAGAAGGGAATTCTATCTCCCTGGGTGTAGGGGTCCGCTAGCGTCGAAACCTCCGGATTCGATTTTAGTGGAATCTCTAATCACCCTTAGAGGAGACCATGCCTTCGGTAAAGGCAGCCTAGACGGCTATGAAGAGCAAGGTACTTGATTGTAAGCGAGTTTATGGAGGAAAATCAAGTACTATGAAGAGCCTTCAAGGTACTTGATTTTCCTCCATAAACTCGCTTACACATGTTCAACTATTCTCAACAACAAACACCTGGATAAAGAGCCAAATATGAATTTGTTCCTTATATGTGACCATAAACTTTTAACAATTGGTTAATAATCCTCTTTTGGACGATGAATTGTTTGTCGTTGTTTTCATATTTTGTTTATTTAACTCCATGGATTGGCATTTCAGACAATAGTTGCATAGATAGAAACAGTGTTGTTGTTTCTGTGGATGGATGAAGATTTTTGCAATGTCTTGGTTTCATCGAGTCTGATCCGAGTGCAGTTTGTTCATTTTACATTATTGTGTTTCATATTATATTTTTTCAGAATAATGCAACAATGCACAACAAATAAATTCATTTTTACCTTGCCTTTGTCTTTAAGTTGGAACTAGAAAA